TCCGCATCAACAGAGACGACGAGGAACAAAAGAGCCAGCAAAGAGTCTCTGTGTAAACACAAAACATCGGTGAACTGATAGTCTGTATCGCTGTCTGAGGCTTCTTTTCTTTTCTTTTTTTTTTTCTTTTTTTTTTTGAGGCAAAGTCGTACTTGACACAACTCCGGCACTTTCCATTTGGGACTAATGCATAAGAAATGGAAATCGGCATCTCTTTGTTGACTGTTGTTCCCTTTTGTCACGGCTGATTAATTAAACATTTGGGAAGGCTCAGTTGTTTGCTTGAAAGGCTTCTCTCGCTCACGCTCTCACTGTCTCTCTTTCTCGCCGACTGACGACTTTGCCCCTGCTAAGTTTTCCTCAAACGCTCTGGGTGGGAAGAAAAAACAAAAAACAAAAAAACAATAGCCCATTGCGAAAGCATGAAACACAAAAGCTAGCAACTTTTTGCTAAGCTACATACCAGAAAAACTAAAAATGTTGGTATCTAGAATTTTTTGTCACTCAACAGAATGCCATCGATTCCTTTTGCTGGCGACGTTAATTTATAAAGCACAAATCCTGACCATTTTTGCTTGTAATTGAGAAATTTGCTCCAATTGCCTTTCATTATAAGCTTTGATTAATAATTGACAATATATTTTTTTTTTATGGGAAGACACTCATTTTTGACTGATATCTCACAGTAATCACCAACAATGATTTAAATAGGTAAGTCTCAATCCAATTTAGGTGCAAACGTTTGTGATTATTTGCAAAGGTGGCCGATGTTCGCTAGGAGAACGTTTGGCCAACGTTTGCGAGCGTGAAGGAACCCTGACGTGGTGGACGACGTGCATTTTGCCCCCTTCGCCAACACTCGCAAACGTTGTCCCATCAGCGTCGCAGGGACTTGATTTCTGGATAATGGCCGTAGCTAAACTGGCAAGTTATCTTTTTTTTTTTTCATTTTGTCATCAGGTGTGGTTAAATTTTACATTTTGAAGAGATCACGGGCATGAACGTCAAAACTGACTAAATAGCGCCTCCTGGAATTATTTGCAACATTACATTTGGTCAGCACATCGATCATGAGTCAGCACAAAAAAAAAAAAAAACGTCCAGAAATCATGAACGAAATCATTATCAGGCGGCCCTTCCCCCCCCCCCCCGCTGCAAAAAGGCCACCGAGTGCCTAATAAAGTCCACATGAAGAATGGCAAGCATGTAAAGTGGCTGCTGATGAAGTCGAGCTCATCTCCGCGGCGTCTCCATGCCGAGCGGCATTAGAATGTAATTATGGCGCGGCCGCTAACGAGATGCCGCCGCCATCGCAGACAATGCCGCCCTCGCCGCCGCGCTCCCTGCTGCGCGCGAAGCCACCTGTGTCGAACAATCAGACATCTAATCTGGACCGTAAAAAAAAAATAATAAAAATAAAGGCTGCCTCTCACACCTCCATGACGACGCCACAGAACCTGTCAGTTCCACACCAGACCTCATCAGTGTGGCGGCGGTGGCGGCCTCGCCGGGCATCACGCCTATCAGCCAGCATGCTGACAAACGGACTACAGCGCTTTGCTTTTATCTGTCGAACACTGCAGCTATATAGCAAATCCCCCCCACCCCTCATCGAATGTCACCACCCCCCGTCTTC